AGTTGTGTTTAGGGTTGATTCATCCGAAAATGCATCCAGGTTCGTTTTGGGTACTATCTTTTTAGGGCGGGAGTTTCATCTGTGACCATTCGTGTTATTTTTTCCCAGTTGATTGTGACTGATGATTCCGTGAAACTTTCATCAAACACATGAAAACACCCTTTGCAGTGACCGTACCCGTTATTTTTTTACCAAACATATTATCGAGACCCTTGTTGATTACGAGTGGCATATTTTCCCCCCACTCATCCCCAGACCTGATGTACTCGAACTCCTTGGTCACAACCACAGTCGTCCTTTCCCCACTATCACCCCGCTGCCCTCTCCCCCGCCTCACGCCATTCCACGTCTTTCCACTCCCGCCATTCTTCCGCCACTCGCGCGCGCTTTTCGCCAACCATCTGCGCTCGCGTGCGCCGATCCCGATCCTTAAATCTCTAGCTCTTTCCGAAGCTCCAGGATGAGCGGCAAGGCGGCGGTGCAGCGGGCGTTCAAGGCGATCGACTGGGAGAAGCTGAGTCGCGTGGTGGTGAGCGAGGAGGGCAAGCGCGAGATGGCCGCGCTCAAGCGCGCGCACGACGAGGTGTCGCACACGCTCAACACGAAGTTTAACGAGGTCCGGTTACCTGGTGTAGTGTGCAAATGCGATCTCTGCGTTACTCAGGCGCCGGTAGATGTTGGGAGGAGGTGTCGCACACGCCCAATACGAAGTTCAACGAAAGCATGTTTGATAACGGAGGATCTTCGCTATAGGACCAAACAGGCCCTAAATTTACATTTCATCGTTCTCGCCTCATGAAGCCGCAAGACGCGTATATCCTCGTGACCAGGCTGCGAAAACCGTGAACCTCGCTACGGCAGGTAAGGTGGCTACGGTCGCTCAGGCCAGTAGCGGCAGTAGGATCATTAAGATCAGTCGGATCTCTGCTTTTGTTCTGCGACGCCGTGGCTTCATGCGCCGCTGTCTCTTCGTGCGATGCTGTGGCTTCATGCGACGCTGTGGCCGCATGCAATCTGCTGAACTGATGTTTTTTTGCACGTAACCCTAACAGCTGTAACTTGTGCACAGCCCGTCGTCAGCGTTGTATATCTATCTGGGGAGGGGGGGTTGAGGGGGTAGAGGGGGGGGGGGGGGGGGCTAACTGGAATGGCCAACGGCAGTGCATTCAGTACCCTTGTGATCGCCCTTGTTGTGACCACAGGGGTGGAATGGTTGCACCCCTCCCATCGTGCTCATTCCCGGTTCCCGGTTCCAATTCCCTGCAGTGCAGCCTTCCAGGCGAGCAGAAGAAAGTGGCGATTGGCTGGGCTCTGTACCGCTCCGAGGCGACTATTGAGTCGATTGCCAGTCATCCTTCTTCTCCTCATTCCCCATGTTTCGCATCTCTGTCATCTCACCCCTCTCACCCCTCGGTCCATGCAAGCAGAAAGTGGTGGAGATCGACTGGGCGCTGTACCGCTCCAAGCTCAACCCCAAGATTGTTGACATGTTCGAGCAGTCGTACAAGAGTGAGTCTCTTGGTGACTTTTGAGTCGACCCAAAAGTCGATTGTTTGACATGTTCGAGCAGTCGTACAAGAGTGGGTCTCTTGCTTGGCCTTGCATTGTGTGTGGGAGGAATTGTATGGTAGAAAAGGGGATGGTAGGGGGGAGGATGGGGATGCGAGAATGATGAGGGGGGTTGACTGATCATGGGTAGGATAGGATCATTCACTGAACGAGCTGTTTCTTCTTCTCCGCTCTCGTCCCCTTTTCCTCTCTTCTTTTGTTCTCTGTGTGTGGGGGGTGTGGCGGGGGATGTGGGGTTGGGGCGAGCAGGCATTGAGATTCCGGACTATGTGGACACGCTCACTCCTGAGTTTGAGAAGGAGCATCAGCAGCTCGTGAGCATCCTACCCCACGCTCCCCCACACGCCCACTCCCGACTCTGCTTTTGCATGGCCACCCTGACCCACGCTTCCTGGCACCCTGCCATTGCATGCCCTTGACACTCCCCCACCTCCCCCCCAGCCCACTCCACACTCTGCTTTTGCATGCGCATCCCTGCCCCACCCTGCTCCACACTCTGCTACTGCACCCCCTTCGCCACCGCACAAACATATCCACTTTTGCATGTATGCCGTGCTGCTTTCCGCCACATGCCTCTTGTGTCACTCCATGTCCTGATTCACATCTCCTGCATGACATATGTGTGTGTGTTTGGGGTGAAGGGGGAGGAGGGGGGAGCGTGGGCCATGGGTTGGTGTACGATTTGAGTGTGCATGTGTGTGTGTGCATGTGTGTATGTGTGTGTGCTTGTGTGTATGTGGGTGTGCGTGCTTGCATGTGTGTGTGCGTGCGTGCATGTGTGTGTGTGTGTGTGTGTGTGTGTGCACCTATGGTTATTGTCGCAGGTGGCCAAGGCAGCGGAGGAGGAGGAGGTATCAAAGCATGAGGCAGCTCGTCTTAAAGCCGAGATAGAGAAGATCCGAGCGCAGAAGGTGTGTGCACTTGCCGCCCATTTCTTGTGCCCCTTTTCACTTAACCCCTCTGGCACTGAAACTTGAGATGTCAATGCTTTGTGCTATGCTTGCTCGCTGGGTAGATCTCTGCTCTGCTTATGCCCGGTTTCTACCTTTATCTCCGCTTTTCCCTGTATAAACTCCAAATTTCTGCACCATGCATGTGTCATGTCCTGTTGTCGCCTGATATCATTGTGCCAATTGCGAGTCGCAGGATGCACTGAAGACAATGACAGTGGATGAGTATCTGGCCAAGAACCCCAAGCTCAAGGAGAAGTTTGATGAGGAGATTCGCAACCACAACTGGGGCTATTGAGAAATTGAGACTGCAGAGACAAAAATTGCATCTGGTTCAGCAACGCTACATAGGTCACCCATTTCGTTGTAACCATGCTTGTCAATATGATTTTTATGCGTGATAATTTAGGGTTTCAAGGCACCAGAATCTATAAAGAAATGCATAAAATGGGGAATACACTTTATTTTACTGATTGTATTTGTGTAGATCTACATGTGCTACTTATGCAGTATTGTCGCCGAGGAACAGTCGTTCGTTCACCCATGGCGAGCTATCGCAGCTCCGCGTATCCATTCCCGAGGCGGGGAGGAGCCATCGCAACCAATCTCAAGGGCACACAAGTCAGTCAGCCTCATCATCAGTCAGTCATGATGGCAGATTGAAGCGTCCACTTCATTTTTCACTGCAGTCACGCCTTCTGCTGCTGATGCTAGGAGGAGTGAGACTGTGAGATCTGCCTGACACTGTCACCTCGCTCCGCCTAGGCTCTGATTCTGTTTTTTTTCTGTCCAGAAGCAAGAGTCGCTTAGGAAAGCTCCGCCAGACCCGCCGCTCGCGTATCTGGTTCTCTGGCAATCACTAGGGTTGTTGCTTCGCACAAGTTTAACTAGGATTTTTATAGTATTTTTTTGTTCTCCTTTCTATCCAAGGCTGAAATGCAGTTTCGGTAGCTCATCCCTCACTTACTCTGACCATGAAGAATTATGCACGTCAGCAGGCTTATTATGTCGTGCCTGCTTGACTCGCATCGCTACTTGCCGTGATCTGCTTCTCGACTGTTGGTGTTGCAGCTTCCGATGGCGTGCCTGCTAGCCTCCTCGTACAAGCACATTCCTCACGTTGTACATTCCTCGCCCGTTACAAGCACATCCGTTTCGAAACCCCCGAGCGCTCCTCATGGAAGGCCGTGGCCTCGCACGCTTCGGGAAACGTCATCTCTTAGCGCGTATAGACGGCCGACTCGCGTAGCAGGACGCCTTAGCAACGCATCATGGTCACCGAGGCACAAGCAGCAAGGGTGCGGGCTTTCTCTTGGGATCTCGCCGTTGCGACAGTCACGCGCTCGTTTTGCCAGTCAGAGCAACGCCGGAGCAGCGACGGCGACAGCGACAGGAGCAGCAGCAGCAGCAGCGACAACGGTAGCCTCGTTGATTCATTCTGCGTCCTCCTCACTAGTAGCCGTCCTTGCGATCAGTCTCACAGCCGCGTTAAAGGCGGCATCGTTAAGAACAACATGTTCTGTTTCTGACACCACGTCTGTTGCTGCTGCTGCTGCTGCGAAATCCCCCAGATCCTCCCCTGCTGTGAATAACAGGAAGAGAGCACTGCACGAAATCCCGCGCTTCAGGCCAATCCATGCCGTCAGATCATTCGTAGTTCATGCGCACCGTCCGATCAAAATTTCCGGGTTTTCAAATTCGTCATCCCGCGTTATCGTTCTAAAGAGACGGATCAACAGAAGCCGTCGAGCAGCAATCAGTGAGCTGTTGGGTGAAACCCTAGATTTGAGAGCATGTAGGTGGAAAGGCCTAGATTCAAGAACGGTTGGAGAAGAAGCCCTAGATTTGATAAAAGGTAATCGGATAGGATACACGCATGGTGTCAGGAGATGGGGTTTGTATAGAATCTGGTTACCAGCAGCACGGAGTTCACCAGCAGAATTACCCGCACGATCGTTACCAGCAGAATTTACTGCGCACGAATTCCCAACGAAACCAGTATCGATTGCTCTCAATTCTAGCTCGTCTGCTGCTTGCGCAGCATTTTCTTCTAGTTTTTCCCATGCGCACTCGCTGCATTCCACTCCGTTCAATCGAACGTGCTTACATCGAAGTTCTCTGTACGGCCAGCGGCGAGGGCCCGTAGGTGGTTCGTTGGGCTTTCGTGTGGGTAGGAGCAGCCGAGGATTGCGCACTCTAGTGCGTGCCTCTGCTGCTGGCGCAGGCGCAGCAGGAGCAGCAGCAGCAGGGGCAGGAGCAGCAGCAGGGACAGCAGGCGCAGCAGGGGCAGCTGGAGCAGCAGCAGGGGCATCAGGAGTAGCAGGGACAGCCGCAGGGGCAGCAGGAGCAGCAGCAGGAGGGTCGGGAGCAGCAGGGGCAACAGGAGCAGCAGCAGGAACAGCAGGAGCAGCAGCAGGAGCAGCAGGAGCAGCAGCAGGGGCCGTACCCTTCTTTCTCAAATTCCCAAATCCCTTCAACCAGATGCCTCCTCTGTCCGATATCTTCACGAAGCTTCTCAGAAAGGCCATGGCGGCAGGGAAGGTGCCTCTAGACTGGCTGCACCACCCTCTCTCTCCCGTGCTGCCCGCGCTGGTGCTTATAGCGGGGGCCATCTGGCTGCTGGCGCCGCTGGTGAGGCTGTGCAGGAAGGTGATTAAAAAGAGCGACGCCAATTGGGAGGAATCGCGGTCTCGCCACGTGATGGTGTCGTATTTGCGCCCGCTCATCCTCTGGGGCTGTGTGCTCGTGCTCTGCGGGTGAGTGGCTGCTTGATTGCCCCCTTTGTCGCCAATGCTCGCCTTCTCCCCAACAATCTGCCCCAGAAGACTGCTTTGCCTTGTACCTCCAAACTCCCTGCACCCTCTTCCTCCGCACTCCTCCCCTTCCTCCCCCCAAACCCCCCTCTCCCTCTACCCGCGCAGCTGCTTCCAGCCATTCTCAATGCCCACGGAGGCGGGGCAGCTGATCAAGGACCGTTTTGTCAACTTCCTGCGCTCGCTCTCCACTGTGCTTGTCTTTGCCTTCTGCACCGCCAAGTGAGTGGCCTGTGGCGCCCCTCACCCCATGCCACATGCTTCACCCATATGCATTGCCCTCACGACTTTATTTCCTCAACCCTCTTCCCGTCACTGCATTGCCTCGGACCCTCCACTGTTCCATTCCGAATTTTCCTGTCTTTTATCTTCCTTCTCCCTCTCTCCCCACGTCACAGCCTAACTCGGCAGATACAGAAGATGATGGAGAAGCAGAGCAACAAGGAGGAGACCCGAAATGTGAGTCACCCACTCGCCCTGCCTCTCGCCCACTCGCCCTGTGACCCTTCGGTCTCCCACTGGCCCGCAGGCTAACAGTAAGCGTCACGCTGTCTTACCAATGCTTTCTCCTTTGGTGCACACACACGTGTGGGTGGCAGGAATGACGTGTGTATTTGCCTGTTACCCTGCCGATTGCCCGTATTCTGCCCCATTTCCCCTGCATTTCACCCCCATTTCCTTCGCCTGGTTCAGGTGGGAGTGCAGTTCGTGGGCAACACGGTCTACACGCTCGTGTGGGTGGCGGCGGTGTTTCTTTTTATGGAGCTGCTGGGATTCTCCACTCAGAAGTGGATCACCGCTGGAGGGCTGGGGACCGTGGTGGTGACCCTGGCAGCTAGAGAGGTGTGTGTTGAGAGATTAGTGAGGAAGAGAGGTGAATCGTGGGTGACATACCGGTACTAAAAGTCATCTTCCTCTTCATGAAGCTGCCTGGATTCTCCACGCGGAAGTGAATCACAGCCAAAGGGCCGGAGACTGTGATTGCCACTCTGGCTGCTGGAGAGGCAGTGCAAGGAGGAGTCGAGAAACTAAAGGTCTGTCTGGAGAGACGTTTGAGACCATCCATCATCACTCATGGCCGCAACGTAGTCAATATCTCACCTCACCTCCACTCCACCCATTCCCACCCGGCATGACCCACACCACCAACCCCCCCCTCCCCCCATCAGATTGTCACCAACTTTCTCTCCTCCATCATGATCCATGCCGCTCGCCCCTTCATGGTCAACGAGTGGATTGTGTGCCGCATCGACGGCCAGGAGATCTCGGGGACTGTGGAGGTGAGCAGTGGGCAGAGCTGTGGCTGTCAAGGAGGTGCACTGAGTGACTGAGGAGGTAGGATGGGAGGGGAATGTGGTGGTGCACACAGTCGTGTGGGGCAAAATGCATACTTGCCTCTTCATGGTGAACGAGTGGATCGTGTGCCGTATCGACGGCCAGGAGATCTCGGGAACTGTGGAGGTGAGCAGCGAGCAGTGAGCAGTGCACATGGTCGGGTGGGGCGTGGCTCATTTTCAGTAGTCCCTTGATGGTGAACGAGTGGGTTGTGCGACGCATCAGTGGGCAGGGGATCTCTAGGACTCATATTCTTTTTTGGCCCAACAAATTTCAGGACGGGTTTGCTCTGCACCTCCTCGTCCCGATTCCACCTTCTTCCCCTTGTCCTTCTCTCCTGCTCCCTGCAGCACGTGGGGTGGTGGGAGCCGACTCTAGTGCGCGGTGACGACAGGGAGGCGATTCACATTCCGAACCACAAGTTCAGCGTGATTGTCATCCGCAACATGAGCACGCGCAACCACTGGCGCATCAAGATCTACTTTGGCGTCTGCCATCTAGATATCAACAAACTGCCGGTGAGACAGAGTGTTCAGGGTTACATCCAATGAAGGACCATTCGAGACAGAGTGTTGTTTCATTTGAGGTGACTTCTGAGTCAACCCAAAAGGCACCTGTTCTGTTACTTGCAACATGAGCACGCACAACCACTGGCGCATCGAAAGATACTTCGAGATGGTTTCATGATCTCATAGACTCGTAAGCTTTTTGTTTCTTTCCCCTTTCCCCATCCGTGCAACTTCCCATCCATGTGCACATCCACCCCCCATCAGGACATCCTGGTGGCGATGCGCAAGTTCATAGCCAAGCACCCCATGCTGGAGCAGCGCCGTCTGGGAGAGACCAGTTGCAGCTTCGAGCTTTACCTACCTTCCTACTCTGCCCCTGTGCCCATCCAACCCCCCATCTTTCCAACCAATCAGGACATCCTGGTGGCAATGCGCAAGTTCATAGGCAAGCACCCCATGCTGGAGCAGCGCCATCTGCACCGACGTGTGTTTGTGGAGCGCATCGATGAGCAGCTGCAAGCCATCATGGTGGGTGGGGGGATGGGAGCATGCATGCAGGCATGTGTTGGGATGAGTGTATGGGCTGTTGGTAGTGTTTCCCACTGCCACCACCGCCATCTGCATGGACGTGTGTTTGTGGAGCGCATCGATGAGCAGCTGCAAGCCATCATGGTGAGAGGGATGGGGGGACGGAGCATGCAGGAATGCGTTGGCATGGGTGCATCGCACAGCCACCACCACTGGCAGCGCCATCTGCACCGGCGTGTGTTTGTGGAGCGCATTGATGAGCAGCTGCAAGCCATCATGGTGAGAGGGGGGTTGTGTTGTGGGGATGGGGGGATGAGGGGATGAGGGGACGGAGCATGCAGACCGTCTGTGAGGGATGGGACCAAGCAGGCGACCATGGTGGTCTGGTGCACTCTTGCTCCCCCCCACACGACACCACCACCACTATCACCACCAGCCTTTCTCTGGTTTCCACTCTCGAGTTCCTCCAGCACTCTTTTTATTGAATTTTCATTCGCCACTCATCCTCTCTCCATCCCGCCCTCTCGCTGCAATCCTCGCTGCATCTCATTGGACATCCTCCTACCACCCTGCGCTCACCTGCACAATTCTCCACCCCTCTGCACCGCTCTGCATGCAGGTCATGTGCTCATGCTTTGTCAAGACGCCCTATTTCGAGGAGTACCTGCGAGTGAAGGTGAGAAGGGGAATGGTAGGAGCAAGTGAGTTATGACCAGTACGAGCAGACAGACTTCGACCATGCATACAAGCAAGGGAGTGGTGCACAAGGTATCTTAAGACGACTTTAGCCACCTTGACTCCAAGGTTGATGAGATACTGTGGTTTGTTGCGTGGTCAAGGTCCTATATGACCAGGGGGGAACTCGAATTTCCCGCATTTCCACTCTTCATCCAACGTCCCAAACCACCCTTCCTTTCCCCATCGCTTTCATCTCCCAGGAGAACGTGGTGCTGGAGATGTACAAGATCATATTGGATCACGGGGCTCGTCGCACGATGCCCTCTCTGCTGTCCCTTCAACTCACATACCCTCCTTGCCCTTACCCCCCTTTCCCCAGGAGAACGTGGTGCTGGAGAAGTACAAGATCATATTGGATCACGGGGCACGCTTAGCAACCCCCATCCGCTCGGTGCAGAGGCTGTATGACAAGGGCGAGGCGGCACGGGGGGAGGGGGGGGGGGGGGGGGGGAGGGGGGGGGTACAGATTACAGCCACAACTCTCCTTCATTCCCTCCCTTTCCTCTCCTTTCCCTCATCCCATGCTCCCTCTCCCCTTTGCCTCTTCCCCAGGAGAACGTCGTTCTAGAGATGTACAAGATCATTCTCGACCATGGGGCGCGCCTGGCCACGCCCATCCGCTCAGTGCAGCGGCTGTACGACGAGGGCGAGGTGGCACGGGGAGGGTATGGTGACGAGGACGAGTTTGACGAGGAGGAAGAGGAGGAGGACTACGAGGAGGAGGAGGAGGAGGAAATGCGGCCCCCCGCGCTGCTCGTCGCTGCTGGGCTGGGCGTCGCTGGTTCTGGATCGGTTGGGGGCGCGGGAGGGGGCGGGGGCGGGGGTGGGGGTGGGGGTGTGGGAGGGGGTGTAGGAGGAGGGGGACGAGGGGGGTCGGGAGGAGGAGCAGCAGGGGGAGGAGGGGCTGGTGGGGCTGCGAGGGCGCCTGAGAATGGGGCGAGAGTAGGGGCAGGGGCGGGGGCAGGGGCAGGGATAGGGGCAGGGGCAGGGGGAGGAGTGCTAGTAGGAGCTGGGAATGGGGTAGGCACGGGAGTGGGAGCAGGTGTGGGGGCAGGTGTGGGGACAGGTGTGGGGGCAACAGCAGGGGCAGCAGGACCGGCAGCAGCAGCAGGGGCAGCAGGGCAGGGAGGAGGGGAGGTGAATGGGCATGCGAGTGTGGGGCCCAATGGAGGTGCAAAGAGAGGCGTGAGTGGGAATGGTGTGCCTGGTGGTGCAGGCGATGCAGGTGCTGCTAATGGTGGCCTGCATCACTCTCCTTCTCCTTCTGCTGCTGCTGCTGCTGCTGCTGCTGCTGCTGGTAGTGGTGGTGGTGCTGCTGCTGGTGGTGTTGGCACAGCTGCCAGTAGTGCTGGTGTTGCTCCCCCCGCCACTACACATGCAGCTGCTCCCCCATCCTCCTACCCCCCTCTCCCTCCTTCCCCTCCTCAGTCCTCGCCTACACCCTCCTTCTCTCCTCCCCAAATCTCCTCTCCTCCGCCTCCCACATCACCTCCCATGCAGCAATCCACGTCACCTCCCATGCAGCAATCCATGTCACCTCCCATGCAGCAATCCACGTCACCTCCCATGCAGCAATCCATGTCACCTCCCATGCAGCAATCCACGTCACCTCCCATGCAGCAATCCACGTCATCATCCACACAGCCCTTCATCCCTCCTACTCCTCCTCCTGGCCCCCCATCAGCCCCTCCCCATGTCCCCCTTTCCTCACGCCCCCCCTCCCCTCCCCGATCACCTCCCCCTGGCCCTCCATCAGCCCCTCCCGCTGTCCAGCCCTCATCACGTCCTCCCTCCCCTACCCGATCACCTCCTCTTCCCGCCTCCCCATCGGCCCCGCCTGCCTTCCCTTCCCCTGCCCCCACCGTTTCCACTCAGGGAAGAGCCTCTGCCAACCCTGGCCCCCCTGCTCCCTACCCCCCCTCTGCTCCCCAGCCTCCCTTCGCTTCTCCCCAGAAGCCCCTTGCGAAGCCAGCTCCTGCTGCTGCTTTCAGCCCTCCTCCCTCTTCAAGCCCTCCTTCCTCCCCAGCTCCTCCCGCCTCAGCCGTCCCGTTAGCCTCCCCCGTTCCCCTGGCGTCCCCCTCTCCCTCCACCCCCACCGGTGCCAGCCCGCTAACCAGCGGCCCTCCTAGCAGGCAAGCAGCACCCACCACTGCTGCACCCAGTAGTGCTCCGCCAACCGCTGTTCCACCCACCGCTGTTCCCCCCACCACAGCCAGTCCTGTTGCACGGGCTCCTACTGGCCCACCTCCCTCTGCCGCTCCATCATTCTCTCCCACTCCTCCCACGCCCAATCCACCCACTGCTGCTCCTCCCACATCACCAACACCCAGAGGCCCTGCCAACCCACCTGGGAACCTCAGCAGCAGCCCACGGCAGCCCCCTGCTTCTGTTCCAGCACCCTCTGCCACTCCCCCTTCCTCCTCTGCCACAGCTGCACCTGCCACTTCTCCTACCTCGCCAGCTACAGCCGCTTCTGTCAATCCACCTTTCACCTTTGCTACTGCCCCTCGCTCTCCCGCCCCTGCTTCTGGTACAGCTGCCCCCCGCCCTCCTCCGCCCTCTGCTACAGCTGCTCCCATTTCTCCGTCTTTCCCCCCTGCTACAGCTACTACAGCTTCAACCCCCAATGCCTCTGGTGCTCCTCCCTCAACCACACCACAGACTGCTAGGACCTCGGTAACACCCAACCCATCAGCAGCAGCACCACCACCACCAGCAGTGGCAGCACCAGCATCTATACCACCACCAGCAGCAGCACCAGCAGCACCATCACAATCAGCAGCGGCAGTAGCACCATCAGCACTGAGTGGAGATGCAACAAGCGGAATGCAAGCAGCAGCGGGCAGAATGCAAGCCATGGCAGGGCAACAGGCAACACGGATGGCACCAGCACAGGGAGTAGCAGCTGATAGAGAAGGTGCAGCAGGGGGAGGTGCAGCAGGGGGAGGTGCAGCAGGGGGAGGTGCAGCAGGGGGAGGTGCAGCAGGGGGAGGTGCAGCAGGGGGAGGTGCAGCAGGGGGAGGTGCAGCAGGGGGAGGTGCAGCAGGGGGTGGTGCAGCATGGGGAGGGGGAGGTGCAGCAGGGGGGGTTGCAGCAGGGGGAGGTGCAGCAGGGGGGGTGACAGCAGGGGGAGGTGCAGCAGGGGGGGTGGCAGCAGGGGGAGGTGCAGCAGGTGGGGTGGCAGCAGGGGGAGGTGCAGCAGGGGGGGTGGCAGCAGGGGGAGGTGCAGCAGGGGGGGTGGCAGCAGGGGGAGGTGCAGCAGGGGGGGTGGCAGCAGGGGGAGGTGCAGCTGGTGTTGCTGCTGGCATCGGTGGAGGTGGCGGTGGTGGCAGTGGTGGCACAGATGGTGGTGGGAGTGGCAGTGGCGCTGCAGCAAGCAGGCGGGAAGTGTTGAGAGAGCAGCGTGCTGCTCGGTGGAGGGAGGAGCAGGCAAGGGGTGGTGGGGCCAGGGGTGTGCGTCCCTCAGCAGAATCAATATCATCCCCATCGGTTTCATCGGCATCAGCGTCAGCATTAAATGCCACATTCCCAGCATCAGCAGCATCACCATTGCCCTCAGCACCAGCAGCACCACGAGCAGCAGCATCAGCAGCAGAACCAGCATCGATCCCTGCACCTTCATCATCAGCATTCTCGTCACAAGCATTGCCATCACCAGCATTGCCATCACCAGCAACCTCCCCTTCCGCGCCCCCACCTCCTCCTTGGGACTACCTCAACCCCCCTCCTCCAACCACCTCCGCACGCTCCCCACCTGAACAACCACTGTCTTCAGCATCAGTACCGCCACCAATGCCAGCACCACCAATGCCAGCACCACCAATGGCACCATCATCGCCAGTACCATCGACACAACCACAATCACAATCACAGCTTTCATCACAAGGGCAAGCAGCATTACAACCACCATCGCAATTCCGTACTCCAACGATTGTGCCACCACCATCTCAGCCCCAATCACCCTCTCAACCACCCTCTCAGGCAAACCTTCCATCCACCCAATCGACATCCACCCAACAACCATTCAACCATCCACCATCCAACCAACAAGCACCCTCCCAAGCACAGGCAGGCTTCTTGCAAGCACAAGCATCTCTGTCCCCCCCTCGGCAGCTCTCCACCTCGTCCCCTCTACAAGCATCCCCTTTACAAGCATCCCAGTCTGGCCCAATACAGTCACCTGCATCTCGTCCCTCTCTCGGCACTCCTGCTCCCCCCCGGCCCTCCCATTCCCAATCCCAGCAGACCCAGCCACTCGCCCAACGGTCCTCTCCTGCACCTGCCTCCACTTCCCCTCCCCCTTCTCCCATTCCCTCCACTCCCACTTCTTCCTCTCCACCTCCCTCCTCTCCCCTTCCCTCCCCCAACCCCATCCTGCCCTCCACCTCCCCTCCATATCCTTTGCCCTCCTCTTCCTCCCTCACACCCTCGTCTACCTCCCCCTCTGCCTCTCCCCCTGCCCCCCCCTCTGCCTCCCCCTCTGCCTCCCCTCCTGCCTCCCCCTCTGCCTCCTCTGCACCTCCTGCCCCAATGCTCTCGCCTCCTCCCCAACCACCAGAATTAACTCCCCCAAGCACGGGCACAGGCAATAGTATGGGTACAAGCACAGGAACGGGTGCTGGCACAGCCACAGACACACATACAGGCACAGCGACAGTGGTTCAAAGTGGGAGGATGATGATACAGGAACGGGAGGTGAAGGGGGGTAGAAATTCAGTGGAAGGAGAAGGAAAGGGGGAAGAAGAAGAGGAGGGAGGGAAAGGGAAGGATGGGGAAGGAGGGGAGGGGGAAGGAATGCAGCAGGCTATACTGTTCGAGGTGGAAGGGGAGGGGGGTTCTGATACTGATTGGAAGGCTGAGATTCAACAGGCACTGGGAATGGACGGAGGTGATGAGGAGGGCGAGGGAGGGGAGAAACAAGGGGGACAGTCAAGCCATCCAGAGAAGAGGGGCGGTGAGAGAGAGCAAGAGAGGAAGCTGAGTGAGGGTGGGAGTCGTGGGAATGAGGGGGGGGGGGGTGATTTGAGAAAGCGGGAGGGAAGTGAGGGTGTAGAGTTGGCTTCTGATGGGAAACCAGGGGTGGGAGCGGGGATGGGAGTGGAGGTAGCACCTGTGCCCGTCTTTGCTGCTGATGTCATTTCAGCTGGAGCAATTACACAGCCTGCTGGCACTGGTGATGGTGGTGAGGGGGGTGGTGGTGGAGGTGGTGGTGGAATTGGTGGGGATGGTGGGGTTGGTATGGGTGGTGGAAATAATAATCCCACCAGCACAATAGGCATGAGTGCTTCTGATTTTGCATCAGCAGGCGAAGCAAGGAGCATTGGTGGGCAAGTGTTGGCTCCAGGAGAGGCAGTGATGCGAGGTGGAGCAGGGGAGAGCAGACCACCGCTACTGGGAGCAGCAGCAGCTGCAATGATGAGTGAGGGTGGTAGGCCTTCAGCAGTAGCAGCAGCAAGCTTCTTGAGTTCAGATTCAGACACAGCTTCAGGGACTGGGGACGCTGGGGAAAGAGAAGCCCCTGGTGCGACCAATGCTACAAGCGCTGCCGGTGTAACTGATGTTGGAGGGGGCGATGGTAGTATGGGACTTGGAACAATGGGTGGCACGAAGCAGGGTCGATAAAAAATGTCAAGCAAAACACCTGGGATATATAATAACACCCGAGATCGTGGTTATCAAAAAAGGGTCAAATATTGTTGCACCTTTCAGGCAGTACCTTTATTATGAACATATTTCACTCTTCCATAAGTACCGGAGAAAGGCAACGAAATGCTGATATTGATATTTGATCCATCTACACCAGCTTGCGTGTTCACAAATGCTGGTGACGAAGGTTCCTCCGCCATTTTTCACTGACGTCAGCCGCCTTCACAGGTACGGCAGCTGGGGGCAGGAGCTGGAGCTCAGCTATTGGTTTGTGGTTGTGGCTGGGGTTCCCAATTTTGGCGAAAGCCCTTGCCCCGACAGCGCTGGGCAGGAAAGCAACAACACCAACACCAGGATGCGTGCCTGGAACATTCAAAGTCACTGGTCCATTGTACAGTAGTCCCGTTGCGTCAGCAGAGTCGATCGACGGCCAATGTTGCTCGATCTTGATGCCCCGTCCTAGTGTTGAGAGGCCAGCGGAAATCCAGGGAGCAAACTGCCAACAACATAAGACAAAATTCACAAATGTGATGCTGATCACGGAAGCCGACAGAGACTGTATTGGCGGAGAAACAGGGTTTTCGTGGCATTACGCGGAAGTCAGCCAGCTGGGGCTGTACACTGCAATGGCTTAAAGCCCAAGACCTGAATTACAAAAAAAAAATGGCAAACTGTGCACAGTTTGCCTACCGAACCCACAGTTGACCTCCCGAGCCAGGCTGGTAACCAGAAAACGTCGCGCCACAAAATGACTGAGTCGTAGGGCAGAACAGGTCTGCTTGGCGAGAGTCCCAACCACCATTTCCTGAAGGAGGGTGGGCTCTGCCTGTGCACAGTTTGCAAAAAACTGTAATTCAGGAATGCTTGTGCGGCTAGTACGCGAAACTCGTAGATCATAGGCCAGAGGCAATTTTCTACCTACCACACTTAGTTTACCCTCATCCCAAGCGTGAAAGGCGCGAAGCGCATAATATTCCACACCGCGGTGAAATGGTGAACCTCAATTCCCCTCACATCGTCCTCCCCGTTGACGCACCGTCGCCCCCGCTTCCTCTGTTTCCCCGTCGCCATTGCCCTCCCGTCGCCCTTACCCCTCTCCCCTCCCGTCGCTTCCTCGTCAACGTCGTCGAGCCTCATTCCGACGCTTTTTTCACCACTCCGACCACCCTCTTTTTCCGTTGTCGTGTCCCCACCACTCCCCACTCTCCTGACAGGCGCGCCCACGTTTCCTTACTTGGGCATCGCCTTTCCGCAAACATCGCATTTGGCCCTATCGCTCACGCTTTCCCGCAACGTCGGTCACGCTTTCCCGCAACGTCGCTCACGCTTTCCCGCACCGTCGCTCACGCTTTCCCGCACCGTCGCTCACGCTTTCCCCTTGTCGCCACTCACGCATCCTCCTGCCTTACCCCACTCCCGGGGACACCGTCGCTCGCGCCTTCCCCCGCCTTCTCTCACGCTTCCCCGCTCATCGCCCAGGCTTCATCCCACCCTCGCCCACGCTTCACCCCACCCTCGCCCAGGGTTCCCCCCACCGTCTCCCATGCTTCCCCCCACCGTCTCCCATGCTTCCCCCCACCGTCTCCCATGCTTCCCCCCATCGTCTCCCATGCTTCCCCCCACCGTCTCCCATGCTTCCCCCCACCGTCTCCCATGCTCCCCCCCACCGTCTCCCATGCTTCCCCCCACCGTCTCCCATGCTTCCCCCCACCCTCGCCCACGCTTCACCCCACCCTCGCCCAGGGTTCCCCCCACCGTCTCCCATGCTTCCCCCCACCGTCTCCCATGCTTCCCCCCACCGTCTCCCATGCTTCCCCCCACCGTCTCCCACGCTTCCCCCCACCGTCGCCCACGTTTCCTCCCACCCTCGCCCACGCTTCCCCCCACCATCGCCCACGTTTCCCCTCACCCTCTCATCCGCCCTTCATCTCATCCTCCCGTCCTCACATCCTCGTTTCCTCTCATCCTCCCGTCCTCTCATCCTCCTTTCCTCTCATCCTCCTTTCCTCTCATCCTCCCTTCCTCTCATCCTCCCTTCGTCTCATCTTCCTTTCCTCTCACCCACCCTTCCTATCACCCACTCTTCCTCTCATCCCCCCATCCGCCCCACCGTCGCCCACGCTTCCCCCCACCCTCGCCCACGCTTCCCCTAGACGGGACAGGGGAGTGGGGGAGGCGGGGCAGGGGGGGCAGGGGAGGCGGGGGGGTAGGGAGAGAGGGTGCAGGGATCCTCCTATCCCCTGTTCCACCCCCTGCCACACTTTCTCCTCCTGCCCTCCTCCCTTCCTCCGCATTCATACCCCTTCCTCCCTTTCTCCATCTCTCGCGTTGCGCTTTTTCTCCCCGCTGATATCTCTTCCCTTCCCATCGCGTTTGCGTCATCGTCGGTGGCAAGTACCGTCCGCCCTTCCACTCTCCATTCAGCCCTTTCTCCAAGCCTCTCTCCACCCTACCACTCTCCCACCCACTCTGTCTTTCATCCTCCTGCCCCTCCACCCTGCCGCCCTTTTTTTCAAGCTGCCACTTTCCGATCTTCCTGTCGGCCGCCTTTTCTGTCCGACCCACTTGCTACACCCTACTTGATTTCCTCACATCCTCCCATCCCCCCTTTCCCTTCCACGCCTGTACACTCATCGCCTGTTTGTATATTCAAGGGGATTGCCCTTCGATTGTCATTGTTTCGTACAGTCCTTCCCAGCTGCTTCAACATACCGGTACCATATGACACATCAAATTTCATGGTTGATGATTAGTGGTATGACAAATAGGTAACCATGCCATGTATTGATGTTTATGCGTCTCATATTAAAACACTGTCGGCTTCAGAGCAGGGTTGCACATGGCCACAAAAAAGAAGTGGAACAAAGCATATAAAAGTTGTCAACAGTGGACTATAGGCACAATGCACAAAGCTAGGAGGTGGTAACTTTTCATCACATTAACTCATGGTGGTGGGCACCTGTCCAAGCATGGTTCTGTGATAGAACGGGGATGGAAGAGGGGGTATGGCAGATAAGCGAGGGTTGGATGTGGACGGGGCAGAGGGGTGAGAAAAAAAGGGGAAAGAGAGTGAAGACGGATGGGGGAGAAGAGAGTGAGGGGGTTGGGAAGAGAGTGTGCAGTGCGCAGGGGAGAAGAGAGTGTGGGGGGTGGGAAGAGAGTGTGCAGTGCGACGGGCGAGAACAGAGTGAGGGGGGTGGGAAGAGAGTGTGCAGTGCGTAGGGGGGAAGAGAGTAAGGGGGGTGGGAAGAGAGTGTGCAGTGCGCAGGGGGGAAGAGAGTGAGGGGGGTGGGAAGAGAGTGTGCAGTGCGACGGGCGGGAGGAGAGTGAGGGGGGTGGGAAGAGAGTGTGCATTGCGTAGGGGGGAAGAGAGTAAGGGGGGTGGGAAGAGAGTGTGCAGTGCGCAGGGGGGAAGAGAGTGAGGGGGGTGGGAAGAGAGTGTGCAGTGCGCAGGGGAGAAGAGAGTGTGGGGGGTGGGAAGAGAGTGTGCAGTGCGCAGGGGAGAAGAGAGTGTGGGGGGTGGGAAGAGAGTGTGCAGTGCGCAGGGGGGAAGAGAGTGAGGGGGGTGGGAAGAGAGTGTGCAGTGCGCAGGGGGGAAGAGAGTGAGCAGGGGGGAGGGGAGTGAGCAGGAGAGAAGAGATTGCGGGTGGGCAAGCGAGTGAGCGAGGGGGAGAGCGTGAGATGGAGAGAGTGAACGGCAATGGGAGGGGTAGTGGTGGCGACGGGCGGGAAGCGAGTGCGACGGGCGGGGGAAGCGAGTGCGACGGGCGGGGGAAGCGCGGGCGGGGAAGCGAGTGCGACTGGCGGGAAGCGAGTGCGACGGGCGGGGGAAGCGAGTGCGACGGGCGGGGGAAGCGAGAGCGACGGGCGGGGGAAGCGCGGGCCGGGAAGCGAGTGCGACGTGCGGGGAAGCGAGTGCGACGGGCGGGGAAGCGAGTGCGACGGGCGGGGGAAGCGAGTGCGACGGGCAGGGGAAGCGAGTGCGACGGGCGGGGGAAGCGAGAGCGATGGGTAGAGGAAGGGAAGGCGACGGGCGGGAGAAGCGAAGGCGACGGGCGGGAAAGGCGACGGGAGGGGGAATGTTGCGCGACGGGGTGGGGGGAAGTGAAGGCGACGGGGGGAGGGGAAGTGAAGGTGACGGGGGAGGGGAAGTGAAGGCGACAGGCGTGGAAAGCGAAGGCGACGGGCTGGGGTCCAGAAGGCATCGGGCTGGGGTCTTGGAGGCGCCATCCCACGCGGCTGCGATGGCGAAAGAGATCGGAAGCGTGGGACCTAGGGTAAGCGAGGGCGAGGAGAGAGGTTTACGCTTGGGCGAAGGGTCACGGTACGATATTCGCCGAGAGTTTACGCATCAGTTGCACCCTAAACCTGCATTTCGACACGAGCGAACACTATCTTTGTGCGTCGTCATCGAGATCCGCGTTACCCACATTCGTAAGCCGCCTCTGATTCCTCGCTATGTCTACAGGTATGCTATATGCCTAGTTATCTGCGTGCTATCCCAAACTGTGCACAGTTTGGGATGGACGCCCTTTTCTGGTTGTTGTGTGAGGGACCCCACCCATCACTCGAATTCTTGTACGCGACGGACTTTTGTCGCAATTTGGTTTCGCGAGTGAAAGTGGTTCGCACCCCAACCGAACCTCCGTCTGCCTGCCTTCCGAACCTAATTTTTCCCGTTGACTTCCGTTGAGTAATTCAGGTCTTGGGCTTTAAGTGCTTCCTCTTCATGCCACATAAAACCATACCACGTCAGCGTTCCGCAAAGCCCAAGGGCGGAGCGCAGGCAAGGCAAACCCGCCACCCTCGAAAAGAAAGTGCTGCTTTCGGATCCCGCCACGTCCTCCCTCGCCCCCGGAACCAACCACTTTCGCCCGGCGAGTGACGCAACCAGCCCAGCACTCGAACCTTCCACGTGGTCCCTCATAACCACGCGCTGCGGGCCAGTGACGCCATTTACATCCCGGATCTCACCGTAAAACCTCTTCTAACCGTAGCTCAACGCACTATATCTCTGTCTCACCATCACTTCTGTTCAAATTGTTGAGCATAAATAGGAAGGCGCCGAATTACAGTTACCAATTCCAACCTCACTCACATCCAGCGCAGCAAAGCTAACGAAATCTTTCAGCCAGCAACATCAGGTCTTCCGATCTTCGTTCTCAATAAGTAGCAACAGTGTCGCTCTTGTTCCTCAATCAGTACGCTTCAGTCCCACACCACAAGTCTTCCGCCCTAAAATAGAGCAGCGGAGAAACCCAGATTATCGTTCAGTGCATACTTCCCGTCCCACTGAGAGCAGTTAGAAGTTTTGCACAAGAGCAGACTCGGCTCCCAAATCCGGAGGCAGGAGGTAACAATGGCGGAGTCTCATGTCGCCAATGAGCCGCAGGTTGCGCCGCATGTGACAGTGACCAATACCAGCAGCACGTCGGGTATAGAGGACATTCGCAAGAGATACCGCATCGGCAAGAAAATTGGTAGCGGTCGGTTTGGAACGGTCCACGAGGCGGTTGATAGGCACACAGGCGTCCACGTGGCAGTGAAGACGATCCCTAAGGACAAATACAAATGCGCCGCGCTGTCGATCTTCCGCAAGAAGGACAAGGCGGAGGCGGAATCCACTCTCCGCCTGCTCCGCGGAGAGGCGGAAATTAGCCAGGCGATCGGCGGAAAGCAGGGGGAAGGGCAGGCGGAAGGGCAGGCGGAAGGCCGGTCGAATGTGGTGGAGGTGTTATCTGTGATAGAGGGGCGGCGCCACATGTACATAGTCATGGAGCTATGCCGCGGCGGCTCGCTCGCTAGTTACCTCGAGAAGCGGCGGCGCGGCGAGGTAACGGGCCTCGCACCTGCTGCCCCGACCGCGATCGAATCGTCTGCCGTGGATCGCGGCCATGCGGGGAACGCAGGAGGGAAGCTATTGGCGCACGAGCAGGGCGCGGAGTCGGAGGGGGAGGAGGAAGCGGAGTCTTTCGCCCACCGCCTCCGTCAATTCAGCTCCGACGATCTCTCCGCGTCCTCCTCCGCGTCAGACGTGGGGAGGGAGAGCGACGACGATCACGACGCAGTGACCGCGGAGAGCCGTCGTGAGGCCGCAAACCACGCGATCTCCCCCGCTACATCCGCCGCTACCGCCGGTTATTCCGCCCTGGCGTTCCTCGAGCGCGGCGCGTACGGCGCGGCGCGACGACAGCAGCAGGAGCGGGAGGACGAGGCGGCGTGGATGGCTTACGAAATCGCGTCCGCAGGGGATCATCCACCGCGACATCAAACCCGAGAACGTGCTCATCTCGCTGCCGCCCGTTTCAGCTGATTCAACTGTTACAGCCGCTACAGCCGGCAGCGCTGCCACAGATGCGCGTGATCACCGCAACTCCCAGCGTCGCTCCCGGGACCGGACCAGCTTGAGCAGAGACGGCGGGGTTTCGCTGAAGAAGCGCGTGGCGCTCGTTAGTGTCACGAGCACGCTGCAGCGGTCCGCGTCGCGTAGAATCACCCCCGTTGCAAGCAACCCCTCGTTAGACGAGCTGTCAGGGGAAGAGGAGCACCAGCAGCAGCAGGTGCAGCACCAGCGGCTGGTTCTAGCTGATTTCGGATTGGCCGAGAGGGTCAAGGAGGACGGCACAGTGCGGCGCGGAATGGTGGGCAGCCCTGCTTACATCTCTCCCGAGGTCGCTGGAGGGTTGACTACCAGTTACCCCTCGGATATATGGGGTATTGGCATCTGCCTCTTCCTAACCCTTTCCGGCGGGCAGTTACCCTTTTCGGGTCGCGACACGAGGGCGCTTCTGAGGAATATCCGTAGGGTGGCGCTGCCAATGGGAACAGCGGCATGGATGGGTGTGTCGAGCGAAGGGAAGGCGGTGGTGAGGCAGCTGCTGTCAGCAACGCCCAGTGATAGGCCGTCTGCTCAAGAGGTCATGGAGTTGCCGTGGGTGGTGGAAGGGAGGAGCAGGTGGCTGCAGAGGCACTATGGGCAATAAAGGCACATTGAGTAGGCAGTGGTGGTGTGGGGAGTGCTTGCTAGAAGTTGGATGGTGGAGGATTTTGGGAGGCATTGGTGAGATGAAGATAGGTAGCTTGAAACTAAGTTTTGTAGCAAATGGTTGGGGTAAATAAGGCTGTAAACAGGGGGAATTCCCATATCAGGGAAATCTGAATGTATATGATAATTTTTGAAAGTGTAATGAAATGTAACACTTTCTAAAATTTTGTATTGTGAAAAGGGGTACGTGACCAACAGAGGAAAGGTAGCGCTAAAGCGCTACTCACCCTCTTTTGCCTACAAAAGAGAGACGTGGGGACATTTGTCCCCACCCACGTTTTCATTTCCGAAATTGTAGTTCTAATTTCGTTCTCGTCCACACTGGCGAAAACTCAGTCGCTTCCACGCTTCACGACCCCGTCTGTTGGGAACAAACAATCTTAAGCGCCTCTGTCGTGTCGAAACACCAAGGCACAAGCGAAGCAGAGCATATCGAGGCACCAGCGAGTCAACCCTCGGAGGTTGAAGTAACCGCTGGAGGTTACGCGAAAGTCAAAGGTCAGCGACCTTTGACTTGACAAATGCAGCGCGACAGCAAGGACACACAACTGACTCGACATTGAGCAGTTGCCCGAGTCGCACTGTATCGAACCGCAACAGTAAAACAGTTTAATATATCTCTTCGTATTCTTTGTACTCTTATATAAACCTTTGTACTTGCTTGTTTTAATCAACTTACTTTGCCCTCACATACCAGCGCAAGGTGGTTCAAGGACTTCATTTAAACGCTTCCGCTACTACATCACTCTACCCAGAGTTTAACCCTACCAAAGATCCTAAGGGGCACTCAGCCCAACATGGTATGAGAGCTAGTTAGGGTTAAAATTATTTATCCTTAACACCTAATACACCAAGAGACATGTCTACCAGAAAGGAGAGGAGCTCCTCCAACGGCTCTCCTGGTACTACTCCTACTCCACCTCCTGCCTCTGGCCTACAGACAGAGGAAGGCACAACAACGAGACCGGCAGCTGGGTCTACTGAAACACCCGCAAACCAAGGCGCGGGCTTCGATCCAAGCATGATGGAGAAGTTCTTCTCCTTCATGTCCTTCTACGAGCAGCATCAGCAAGGAGCACCTGCGCAATCAAACAACAGCAACAACAACAACAACGTGACGCCCATGAGTCTCGATGGCTCATCCTACGCACGCGGGAATCAACAACAGCAACCTACCTTCGCTCCGTACGAGCCCCAGCGCGGCTCCGTCAGCTTCATGCCACAACCACAACCTGCACCGGGACAAGAGAGAACGCTGGACGCACTACAAGTTCAGTCGCAGTTCGCGCACGTTCTAAAACTGCAAACGACAAAACCCTTCGACGGGAAGGATTTCTTTACCTGGTCGTTCGAATTCGAGCTGATGATGGAAGGAGCGCAAATCCTTGGCTTCTTCGACGGGTCCCTGCCATACCCAACAAACGGCACACAGTATGAGAAGCAGCAGTACACCTATCAATCGATGATGGCGTACACGATACTACTGAGGAACATCACTCCAACTCAACAACAAAACATACGGTCTTACCGAGGCTACGGCAACTCCGCGGAGCTCGCGTACAATCACTTGAAGAGCCTGTATCAAGCAACAGACAGCGTAAACCAAAGTCGGTTAATGGCGCAGCTGACAACAATCAAAATGAAACCAGGCGAGAAGGGAATGGCGTATATCAGTCGCTGCCGCGAGCTGCGCGACAAGCTTCTTCGATGTGGAGGATCGATTTCAGAGGACGCCTTCGTCACGGTTGTCATCGGCGGTCTTGGTCCTCACTGGCGCTCCACTCGCGCCATACTACGAGCCCACGGGAAAATTTCTGAAGCAGCACTTTGCGCCGAAATCCACGCCGAGCAGCAAGACATGGACCTGCAAGAAGAACGACACAAGAGAAAGGTATCAGTGCCCGAATTCGCGTTTCACACTCAACGGCGCCACAACAACAACAACAATCGACCGAAAATCGTACCTCCATTCTGCCACCTCTGCAAGACTTCAGGGCATCCTCGTACGCACTGCCCGAATCGACAACAGTCAACGTCGCCGCAACGCCAACTTCGCCCTTCAAGCAGTCAAGTCGCCTCAACGCAAGCAAATCCGACAACTTCAGTACAAGTCTCAACAACATCGACGGGACAACCTGCGAAAGGAACAAGAAACACCGTCAGCTGCATGGCAAGGCTGAGTGACTCCTGCGTAACTGAGTCACCACCATATTACTCACCAGAAGAACAACTCGACAACAGCACGCCTCGCCGCGAGTCACTTCAACCGAACCCGACGTACGCCGCCATCGCTCAAAGCGAGCCGTCCGGGAAGGATACATGGTTCTTGGACAGTTGCTGCGGACAACATATGTGCTCTTCAGGACGTTTCGTTCAACGCGAGCACCAACTTCAACGAGAAGTCGTCATCACTGTCGCCAATAATCAGAACCTGCGCACACGACGACAAGGAGTAGTGCAACTTCAGTCACGAGAGACGAATGTCATACTGCAAATGTCCAAAGTCCTAATAGCAGAAGGACTTGGCTACAACTTACTGAGCGTCAGTCAGTTGATGGCGAAAGGCATACATCTGGAAGCCGACAGTACCACCCAGGAGTTCAAGCTGTACCACGGGAAGGGCGGCCTCTACATCGGAAAGGCGGTCCTGAAGAACAATGTCTTCGTTCTCGATTTCGTCCCAGACCTGGGCACCGCAGACAGTGACGGGATCGTCACCTTCACATCTTGGACGCACCCGCCGGATCTCGACCCCGACTTCAGTCCGGAAGGCTTTTGGTATTCACATACCATTCCTGAAGCAGAACGAACACGTGCGTTAGTAACAATACAACATTCGGCAGCAGCAGAGACAACATCGGCAGCAACAGAGACAACATCGGCAGCAGCAGAGACAACATCGGCAGCAACAGAGACAACATCGGCAGCAGCAGAGACAACATCGGCAGCAGCAGAGACAACATCGGCAGCAGCAGAGACAACATCGGCAGCAGCAGAGACAACATCGGCAGCAGCAGAGACATCATTGGCAGCAGCAGAGACATCATCGGCAGTAGCAGGAACAACAACAGTAGCAGCAACAACGACACCACTCCTCGTTGACGAAGCACCACCAACACCCGCACAGCAGCTGAATCCGGCTCAACGGGAAGTCCATAGAAGCGCAAACTTCACCGCCAGCTTCTACTCCAACTCCGACGCGTATCGACGCTCACCCGGACACCGCGCCTCCGAAGACATCTGGCACGCACGCATGGGACACCCAAGCAACACTGTGTTAAACAACACAATAAGAGCAGGAGTCCTTGACAAGGACTCGTTACTACTACTCGACGGCAGAGAACTTCAACGGGCACGAGGAACATGTCTTACCTGCCCCGAAGCCGACTTACCACATCGGCCGTTCACTCCTCATCACAACCCGAGCACACCCGCGTACGCACCACTCGAAAAGGTGTATAGCGACATCCTGTACAATCGGGAACCAGGACAAGTAATATACAACTACACAATCACCTTCATGGACGCCGCCACCCGTTACGTCTGGCATCTAAACCTACCCAGCCGCGACATGGTCCTCGAAGCATTCGCTGCTTGGCTACCAGTAGCAGAAAGAGAGTTGGGCGTAAAGCTGAAAAGCTTCCAGTCTGACGGAGGAGGAGAATACACCTCTCAGCGATTCAAGCAGTACCTGGCGGAAAGGGGAATCAAGCAGCTCCTCTCTCTTCCCTACGCCCATCAGCAGCAAGGTGTAGCAGAAAGAATGAACAGGACTCTGCAGAACAGCATGCGCAAACTGTTGCGTGGCATGCGGCTACCCAACCACCAGTGGCCTGACGCGATGGACCACGCTGTCATGCTGCACAACTTGCTCTCATCTTCATCACTACCGAACAACGCATCACCGCATCTGCTGTGGACAAGAAAACAGGGCAGCACAAAAATGTTACGAGTGTTCGGATGCATGGTACAGTACCGACCCCCAGCAGCACGAGCGGGCCGATTTTCACAACGCGCACAGTGGGGACTACACCTCGGCATCGAAAAGAACTACAACGCGTGGAAAATCTTTGACGTCCACTCCAAGGAAACAGTAGCAGCACGCGACGTCATTTTCTACGAACGACTCACGCTCCAGACATACCTTGCCAACCTGCAAGAGGACCAAGATCCCACAGGTGGTTTTCGTGGTGACCGAGCCTTCGCCTCGGCAGCAGACGAAGCTGACTGGGACGAGCAGAATGTGGCCAACGCATCAGAAGAAGCTGGACCCCTTCCGTTCTGCTCCGTCGACGTCCCCATGGACGAAGATAACCCTCGCGAAAGTGTCAACGCCGAAACCTTCTACTACTTCGCCGACAACGGTTACGTAACACCTGCGACAGTCAACACCGATGAAGCAGAACGAGTAGGACCGAATTTCATACCTGATCCAGAAGCGGGAGATGAAGCAGCTTATCCCGAGGATGCAACTCTTCCCCGCTACTCACAGACTGGACTGCAGATTCTCGGACTCGTCACCGCAGTCCACGGCAACACTCTTCCTAAGGAGCCTGCGACGGTTCAGCAGGCTCTGGGGGGGGAACACAGGGAAAAATGGCGTGAAGCCATGGACAGAGAGTTAAAGGCGCTGGAGGAACGGAACACCTGGAAAGTTGTCCCCATCAGCGTGGCAAGGAACAAGACCATTCTCACCGGGAAATGGGTCTTCCGCGTTAAAACAAAAGCAGACGGCACAATTGAGAAGTTCAAAGCACGCTGGGTTGTGCGTGGATTCGATCAGGAGCACGGACGGGACTTCACCGAGACATTCGCCCCGGTTAGCCGACATACCTCACTTCGAATCCTCCTCGCGATCGCCGCCATGAAGAAAAGGAAGCTACGGCAAATCGATGTCGCCAACGCGTTCCTCTACGCACCTGTCGACGTGGAAATCTTCGTCGAGCTCCCACACGGTACCAACGGGGAACCTAACCAAGTCTGTCAACTGCTGAAATCACTTTACGGGATCAAGCAAGCTCCGCGGCTACGGCAACAGTACCTACACGCTCGCCTCATTCGCATCGGATTCCGCCAACTACCTCACGACCAAGGAATGTACCGACTCACTAAAGACACCGACTACATTCTGCTGATCGTCTACGTAGACGACCTACTCTACATCGGCTCCACTGACGACATCACCACCTGGTTCGAAGGGGAGCTACAGAGGGACCTCACACTCACGGTCTCCTCTACCGTCACACAGTACCTCGGCTTGAACATTCGGGAAGAAGAAGGCGCGATCTACCTCAACGCCGCTAAGTACGCCGACACCATCGCCAAACGCTTCGCGCTCACACCTACCACCATCTCTACGCCCTACCGCTACGCGATAGGAAACCACAAGGAAGGATCCTCTCTACTCAAATCCGCCGGGATACGCGACTACCAGAGAAAGCTAGGATGCCTTCTCTTCGCAGCTGTCACCTGCCGCCCCGACCTCTCATACTCCGCAAGCCAGCTCGCCACCTACCTCAAGAAGCCTGAAGCAGAACACCTGGCGGAGCTCGACCGCGCTCTCCACTACTTCGTCAGTACCTCAACGATCGGCCTAACTTACTACAAGAGCACAACTACACCGACTAAATTAATCGGCTACGTCGACGCTGATCACGCTGGCGACTCCGACAACAGGCGCTCCCGCACCGGCTACATCTACCGCCTCGAACCTATCGGACCGATCTCCTGGCAATCGAGCAAGCAGGAATTAATTGCTCTCTCGTCAGCTGAAGCAGAATATATTGCACTCTGCTCAGCCACCAAGGAAGGACTCTATCTTCGCGAGCTGCTGGAAGAAGCGAAGTTAGCCGAGTTACCCAACTTCACTCTGTTCTGCGACAACCAATCTGCAATTCGCATCGCCAACAAAAATGGATTCGCGAACAGAACGAAGCATATCGCTCTGCGATATTTCTTCGTGAAAGACGAGATTGAGAAGGGGAGACTTGAACTATCCTACTGTCCCACGTCCGAGATGGCAGCTGACTACTTGACCAAGAAGCTCGGAAAACAGAAGTTCGAGTACTGCATGCTGCTGACTGGACAAAGCCACGTCACCAGCAGCGACACTCCAGAAGCGAAGGGGAGTGTTGGGAACAAACAATCTTAAGCGCCTCTGTCGTCATCAGGCCCGCTCACGTAAAACGGTCTGTCTCCAAGCAATTCTGCCACTTTTTGAGCGAGTGGGCTGACATCCCCTGGCTGTGGGTATTCGTGCTGCTCTGGAAGCTTGTCAAGCAAGCTCCCAACGCTTCGCATCCTGGTCATGGAAAAACCTGCAGCAATGCCTGCAGAGATCCCTGCTGCGGCATCAGCATTGGCATCGGCAGCAGCAAGAGCTGCAATTTGAGCAGCAAGTTCGTCACCACTGACAGGCATGGGGAAATTCCACCTCCTTCCCATGCCATGCTCCGGATTACACTCTGTGGAGACGCTTGTGCCTTGCTGAGCTGGCAGTGCCACGTCAGCAGCAGCAGATGCCAAGTTTTCAGCCAGGGGGTCGAATACGTTCAGGGAGTACGGCGGGGTGTGAGGCGAGGGAAGGAACGAGTCGTAGCCTCGCCCACCCCACGTCTTGGATCGCTTCCTGCTGTCGAAACGAGCCCCATCTGCAGCAGAGGCAGCAGCAGCAGCAGCAGTGGAAGCCGCGGAAGAAGCCGCAGCAGCTGTCGCAGCCGCAGTCGCAGCAGCCGCACTAACAGCACCGACAGCAGCAGCAGCAGGATGAGCAGTACCAGCAGCAGTAGGGAACGCGGCCCATGAGCGGGAGCGCACCTGGGGGAATAGGGAGGCACTCAGTGGGTCACTCCCGCCTCGAGCGTACGCCTGGGAATCTGTTCCCCAGGCTCGGGAATCTGTGCCCCAGGCTCGGGAATTTGTTCCCCAGGCTCGAGAATCTGTCCCCCAGGCTCGGGGATCTGTCCCCCAGGCTCGGGATTCTTCCGCTCGAGCATAGCTGCTTGCACCCTGCTCTTCCTCCTCCATCTGTTTCTGCCACAGGCGAATCTCGGACAACAGATCCTTCCCCACACCAGTCCTCTGCGACTCACAAGTCTCTGAAAGGAGGCTTCTTCCTGCAGTGACTTGCTGCTGTGGTGGCAGCATTTCGCCTCCTCCCCTACTTGAGAAGCTGATGCGCTGCTGGGGGTGCAGCTCTTGTGGTTCGTCCCGCTTTCGTGTTGAGCCAGCAACATGCTGTTGACCAGGTTGTCCAGGCTGACCAAATTGACCAGGTTGACCAAATTGACCAGGTTGACTACGTTGACTAAGTTGACCACGTTGAGCAGGCTGTCCATCACCTCGACCGAATGGGCTTGGCTGTTCTGCTTGGTCAGGTACCAAACTTCCAAGAACTGTTGACCGCTGCTGACCAACGTCAAGCTGACTCCTTGCTCTCTCTCCAACGAAAGCAGGCGCATTCAGGTCCAGCCCCCCCTCCCCAACCCCTCTTTCCACAACCCAGCTTCTCCTAGGCCCTCTGTCCCCAGCCCCTCTTTCTCCAACCCCTCTCTCCCCAACCCCTCCCTCCGCAACCCCTCTATCTGCATCCGTCTCCTCAGCAGGGTCGTTCAGGTCAGGGAGCTCACGCCGTGCTGACTTGGCCCCAACTTTCCCACTCCACCCACTCCTTCCACCCCACGCACCCCTCCAGCTCCTTCCACTCATGACACGGCTCCCCCCCTTCGTCCTACTCATCCCCCATTCAGGCGCCAGTTCCCCGGATGACGCGTCATCTTCGCCCAAGGCTTCAGCAGCCGCAGCAGCCCGGACAACCCCAGCAACCCCAGCCGCATCAGCCGCCTCAGCCGCCCCAGCCGCATCAGCCACCCCGGCCGCCTCAGCCGCTGCCCAAGATGGCCCAACTGGAACAATCAGGCTCCCAGCCCCCCATCTCGGCTCAGCTGATCCAGCTGCGTATGCCTCTCCAGGGGCAGCAGCAGCAGCAGCAGAGCTGGCGGAGATCCCTAGGGACGCTCGCGCTTGCGTGCCCGTGGAATAGAGGCTACTGCTCCACCCGTGCCTGGGGCGCAGGATAGGCCCTGGCATAGGAGCCGCAGCAGGGTCCGTAGCAGCAGTGGGAACGGGAGCAGGGGTGGGAGAGAGAGGGGAGTGGGCGCTGCTGCTCCACCCCATGCTGGTTAGAAGCGCCCCTGGCGCAGGGGGAACCAGGGCGCGGAGCAGGTGGTTCTGAGCAGCAGCGGAGGGTCCCTCCCCAAGAGAGGAGTGCGCGAGCTGGGCGGCAGAGCTGGTGAACAGGCCACTGCCCGTGGTCGACAGGGTGGCGGTCGGCGGCAGCATTGCCCCAAACGTTTTATGTGGCTGCCCGCCAAAATTGCCGGTCAGGTCGACGGTGTGTGAGACCGGGTTGGTCATCCCAGCATCTTCATCTGCAGCAGCAGTGGCTGCGGCAGCAACGAAGTGTTGTCCTGTAGGATTTAAACGATCAACTTGTGAAGGTTGCGGCTCGCAGCAGGGATGAAACCCTGGGTTCCTCTCGCGACTATTATAGTTCACAACCCGTGGCCGCACATTCAGAATTCTCTCCGCGTGGGAATATGCAGCGGCAGGTGCGGCGACGACGGTTCGCCGAGCGCTACTAGTAGCGACGGCCACAGCTGCAGCCTGAGGGTGCATCGATCCAGCGTGGCTCGTGCTGCTGACGACAGTAGTGGCCATAGTAGCTGTCTGATGACCAAGGGACCATATCATGTGCGCAGAAGCAGCAGCTGATGCAGCAGCTGAAGCAGCACCTGCCGAAGCAGAAGAGGCAGCAGCAGCAGCAGAAACCGCAGCACCAGCAGCTGAGGATTGGGCCGAGCCTCTATTAGCCGCTGCCATGGCTTCCATACAGTAGATTGCATCTGACGTCAGGTTGGCGCCATGTGACGTGAAACTCACAAAAGGGGGGGACGAATTACTACCATCGCCGGCTGCTGCTGCTCCGAATAAGAACTCCGCCAGGCTGCTCGCGTCGCTGCCGCTGCTGGAACCCATTCTGACGAGACCAGTGCTGACGTTGACCGCGTTTACCTCCGCGTAGTCCGCCGCGTTGACCCCGTTGACTATGGTTGACACTCAATGACTTTCATGTGCGAGATGGGCCGAAATAGTAGCAACAGGAAGTTTTCCAGAGATGCAGGTCGCCGCTTCTTGAAGGTATTCGACTGTTAATAGTGTAATACTATCAGTACCTAGGAGAAAGACCTTGTCACTCCACAGAGAGCATTCCAAGGATGAGCATATGTCTGAACGCGTTTTTGAAACGCCGTGATAGGTATGACGCGGTTTGTGACGTCGTTATAAGGCTCTGAACGCAGCTATCCTAAGAAGGACTGGGACATGATGAGACTTTGACAGCATGGCAGTGCGGTGTTAACGGCCCGCCGCCCGGGCTCCAACGGAAAGATGAACTCAACCCCCCCCCCCTCCCCCCCCCCCCCCCCCCGCTCGCTACTCCCACACTCTTCTCCAGACAGCTTTCTGGCGTGCTGAAGCTGGACCATCGTTCAAAATATGAGGCGGTGATCGCGCGGATCTTCAAGATGCAAGGGCTTTGGCGGCCAAGGCGAGGGTACACATCATGATGATGATTCTAAGCTCATGATACCCACGTGACGCAAAGGTGAGTTTAGGTTTGGTTTGGACTGCTCTCGGAGCCAATACCAGCCAAGAACCCACTTCTTTCAGCAGTGACTGCTTGTACGAACTGTTCGGCAAGCGCAGGGCCATGCGAGGAGAGAGTGGTGTGAATTCATACTTCATCTCGCCGCATTGGCGATGGGCCTAACTATCGTAGTGTGTCAGTGTCATCATTCTCACCCACGCGAACGAATCCGATCAGATTCTACGTATCCCGAGCCCACTAGGAGGAGTCCGATGCTCGCGGCGGCAAGAACGGAAGAGTTTTGCGAAGGGGTACGCGAAAAGATGCCACTGCTGGTTTCCGCTTTCTTCTGCTCTGTCACAAACACAACAACTGTACGTACTATCTAAGCGGCGAGTGGTCGCACACAACACATGATAAACCCGAAAGGGCCCGTCCGTTCCCACACCACGGTGGCCATACATTTGGTGCTGTACGTGACGGCTGGCAAGTCCAAGTCGTAGTGCGAGCAGCACCAATGGCGGTCGCGAGGTGACAGCTTGGGACTCCCCAACTCGGAGTTGAGCGAGGCATGGCGACTGGCAAAGGTGTTTCCCCTGCCAAACGTCGTTCGGTTTGGACCGAGCCGAGGTTATAAACCTTCTCTTCCCAATGATGCCGGATGTTTGAAGTGATGATGGCCGTAAGATATAATTCTGTGGCGACGCGACGGAAAAGGGATATAACAGTGTGGCGACGCGACGACAGTCTGGACTAATCGACGAAGCTGGGCGCTTGCGAACAGCACTGATGAGCTAAGCAACGCACGCGCTGTGAATAGACGCAGTGACTAAGGCACCGCCATATCCACGAGATACGCAATCTGAACGTGGTTGCTCGGGGTGGCAAAAGTCCGTAAACATTTCCTCCTCGCGCAAAGACAACTTACATCCGGCTTCTAAGCTTGCACCTCGGGTTTAGGGTCCTCATGCCAACTTTTACAGCCTGAACAGTTTGAGCGACATAACCGCCTGTGGTCCACGGCCCCACCCGCATTCACGCTGGAAAGAGGTGGTGGCGGTGGGATAGAGTGTGACTGGGCACGGGCAGCACACACACACCACCCAGCCAGTGACAAGGGGCAGTCGAGCAGGCTGGCAGGCAGTCATGTCTGTCGAACAGGACAGAAGATCACCGACGTACTTTGGGGAAGATGGGGTGCGAGGCAAGAGTTGATCATTCCCGTCACGTGGTTGCAAGAGCCGTCGAATTCCGAACCATCATAGAGGGCAGATGGCGGTGGGACAGCATCGAGCCACTTGCGAACTTACCTCAATACCATCATAGCTGTACGATCTCCACGGTCTCTACGGTGTAGATTAGTTTGGGCAGCAGATATGGTCCCAGCCAGAAGCAGTACCTCCAGCTTCCATAGGCAGGTGTCCCCAAGCTATGAAGAGAACAGGCTCGGTGGAGGCTTGGACTGGTGGGGCAAGTGTGTATATTTCTCACACTAGGCTTTTGGTTTGTGTAGCAACCCTATATATTTGGTTTCACTTTTTGCGAATACCATTTTGGAGTGATTTTTGGGTTGCGTAGCAACCCTTTATATTTGGTTTCACATTTTGGGGATATCATTCTAAGAGCGTATTCCTACGGGGCCACCTCGTATCAAGAATGAAATTGACTTTTGTTTACGGTATAAAACACCTTATATCAAGAATAGACCGAACCAGCGCACCAATGAAAATGCTCGCACACCCAGAAGTGAACGTGCTGATTTTCCGACGCACGGTTCCAGTTGACGCGAAGTCGTCAGTCCAGTGAATGCGGCCGACAAACAGTCATGCGAAACTGCACACGGTGGCAGTCGTGCGCCGCGCGCGAACGTGCAAAGTGTGCAAACTTGTTCATGCTGGGTCGCAACATGCCACATCAGCTGTTGATGGAGTCGCACATGTGGGTTAACCGGCAACTTTTACTGATATGAGGTTTTGGCGAACTTGTCAATTTACAGGCAGGAGTACCATTCTTGATACGAGGTGGCCCCGTAGGAATACGCTCTAAGAGTGTTATTTACGCACTTTTTGGAGCACTCGTTTGAATGTTTTGAAACTGTGTTCAAACGGATGCCTCAAACAGTGGATAAAAAACACTCTTGAATGAGATCCCCAAAACACGTAAGCACGTACGTATCATGTTGAAACCATGAACTTGCTCGACCGTCACAACCTCGTCGATAAATACGGCGGATCGTACGGCCGAGCATAATATTCTGGCATCGACATGAACGAATGCAATTGTACAAATGAACAACAAGGTATGAGGTGGAGTGAATGCTTCAAAATGAATGTTAAAATGCATCATGCAGCAACAGAGGTTGATGGGGTCGTTGAAACAGCGAAAACACGCTGCCCCAAAGACGATTAACAACCTCTAATTGCATACATAACACATACTAACACCACACTTTGAACCACACATCCCACAAACACGAATGCAAACGCACGTAAAACCCCACAGTGAAACAAACACAATGACAAGACATGAACACACACCCGCACAAACACACCCGCACCGCACACACATACATACACAAATAGGATTGAGAGCAGACAAGCATAACAAAGAGTTGAAATAAGTTAATTATGTATCAATCACTGCTACCTTGTCCCCCCCTTACTCCCCCTTTCTGCCTTCCTTCCGCTCCCTCAACCATCGAAATCTCCTCCCACCCTTTTCCACATTGTCTTCTCTCTCGATCCCTCCCTGCTCCCCACAACGCGTCTCGCACACCTTGCAAAACAAACGGGTCAAGCAGAAAAAGAATTGTAGTCGGAAAACGGAATGAACTATTCAATGACGAACACGCACTTGATTGTGAAATGGAACTTGAAAGAAATATGATAAGTACAAAAGATAACCGAATTCGACGACTCACAAGCGTGGTTTGAAGCATAGATCTCCTGGGGTCACGCACACCACGCTGGTGTGCAGCAAGGCTCCAGCGAGCAAGGTGCCTTGGTGCAACGAGCTGGGCATCGCCATGCTACAAGGTGCCAGAGAGTTGCAGCAAGGCACTGGCAGAGGAGCAAGCGGGCTGCCGTAACAAGGTGTGAGCTCACTGCAGCAAGGCGTGAGCTCACTGCAGCAAGGCGTGAGCTCACTGCAGCAAGGCGTGAGCTCACTGCAGCAAGGCGTGAGCTCACTGCAGCAAGGCGTGAGCTCACTGCAGCAAGGCGTGAGCTCACTGCAGCAAGGCGTGAGCTCACTGCAGCAAGGCGTGAGCTCACTGCAGCAAGGCGTGAGCTCACTGCAGCAAGGCGTGAGCTCACTGCAGCAAGGCGTGAGCTCACTGCAGCAAGGCGTGAGCTCACTGCAGCAAGGCGTGAGCTCACTGCAGCAAGGCGTGAGCTCACTGCAGCAAGGCGTGAGCTCACTGCAGCAAGGCGTGAGCTCACTGCAGCAAGGCGTGAGCTCACTGCAGCAAGGCGTGAGCTCACTGCAGCAAGGCGTGAGCTCACTGCAGCAAGGCGTGAGCTCACTGCAGCAAGGCGTGAGCTCACTGCAGCAAGGCGTGAGCTCACTGCAGCAAGGCGTGAGCTCACTGCAGCAAGGCGTGAGCTCACTGCAGCAAGGCGTGAGCTCACTGCAGCAACGCGTGAGCTCACGCAGCAACGCGTGAGCTCACTGCAGCAAGGCGTGAGCTCACTGCAGCAAGGCGTGAGCTCACTGCAGCAAGGCGTGAGCTCACTGCAGCAACGCGTGAGCTCACTGCAGCAACGCGTGAGCTCACTGCAGCAACGCGTGAGCTCACTGCAGCAACGCGTGAGCTCACTGCAGCAACGCGTGAGCTCACTGCAGCAACGCGTGAGCTCACTGCAGCAACGCGTGAGCTCACTGCAGCAAGGCGTGAGCTCACTGCAGCAAGGCGTGAGCTCACTGCAGCAACGCGTGAGCTCACTGCAGCAAGGCGTGAGCTCACTGCAGCAAGGCGTGAGCTCACTGCAGCAAGGCGTGAGCTCACTGCAGCAAGGCGTGAGCTCACTGCAGCAAGGCGTGAGCTCACTGCAGCAAGGCGTGAGCTCACTGCAGCAAGGCGTGAGCTCACTGCAGCAAGGCGTGAGCTCACTGCAGCAAGGCGTGAGCTCACTGCAGCAAGGCGTGAGCTCACTGCAGCAAGGCGTGAGCTCACTGCAGCAAGGCGTGAGCTCACTGCAGCAAGGCGTGAGCTCACTGCAGCAAGGCGTGAGCTCACTGCAGCAAGGCGTGAGCTCACTGCAGCAAGGCGTGAGCTCACTGCAGCAAGGCGTGAGCTCACTGCAGCAAGGCGTGAGCTCACTGCAGCAAGGCGTGAGCTCACTGCAGCAAGGCGTGAGCTCACTGCAGCAAGGCGTGAGCTCACTGCAGCAAGGCGTGAGCTCACTGCAGCAAGGCATGAGCTCACTGCAGCAAGGCGTGAGCTCACTGCAGCAAGGCGTGAGCTCACTGCAGCAAGGCGTGAGCTCACTGCAGCAAGGCGTGAGCTCACTGCAGCAAGGCGTGAGCTCACTGCAGCAACGCGTGAGCTCACTGCAGCAACGCGTGAGCTCACTGCAGCAAGGCGTGAGCTCACTGCAGCAAGGCGTGAGCTCACTGCAGCAAGGCGTGAGCTCACTGCAGCAAGGCGTGAGCTCACTGCAGCAAGGCGTGAGCTCACTGCAGCAAGGCGTGAGCTCACTGCAGCAAGGCGTGAGCTCACTGCAGCAAGGCGTGAGCTCACTGCAGCAAGGCGTGAGCTCACTGCAGCAAGGCGTGAGCTCACTGCAGCAAGGCGTGAGCTCACTGCAGCAAGGCGTGAGCTCACTGCAGCAAGGCGTGAGCTCACTGCAGCAAGGCGTGAGCTCACTGCAGCAAGGCGTGAGCTCACTGCAGCAAGGCGTGAGCTCACTGCAGCAAGGCGTGAGCTCACTGCAGCAAGGCGTGAGCTCACTGCAGCAAGGCGTGAGCTCACTGCAGCAAGGCGTGAGCTCACTGCAGCAACGCGTGAGCTCACTGCAGCAAGGCGTGAGCTCACTGCAGCAAGGCGTGAGCTCACTGCAGCAAGGCGTGAGCTCACTGCAGCAACGCGTGAGCTCACTGCAGCAACGCGTGAGCTCACTGCAGCAAGGCGTGAGCTCACTGCAGCAACGCGTGAGCTCACTGCAGCAAGGCGTGAGCTCACTGCAGCAAGGCGTGAGCTCACTGCAGCAAGGCGTGAGCTCACTGCAGCAAGGGGTGAGCTCACTGCAGCAAGGCGTGAGCTCACTGCAGCAAGGCGTGAGCTCACTGCAGCAAGGCGTGAGCTCACTGCAGCAAGGCGTGAGCTCACTGCAGCAACGCGTGAGCTCACTGCAGCAACGCGTGAGCTCACTGCAGCAACGCGTGAGCGTGTGCACAAATTTACCAGCGCGCTGCCGCAACAAGGCTGCCGCAGGAATTTGCCAGCGCCGCAAACAAGGCAGCAGCGCACAAGCCGCCAGCATGCTACAAGGTGCCAGCGCGCTGCGAGGGCACCTGCAAGGCGCCAAACGTAAGGCGCCAGCGCGTTAGGCGCCAGCGCGCTAGGCACCAGCGTGCTATGCGCCAGCGCGCTAGGCGCCAGCGCGTTTGGCGCCAGCGCGTTAGGCACCAGCGCAGCAAGCGCCAGCGCGCTAGGCGCTAGCGCGTTAGGCGCCAGCGCTCTAGGCGCCTGCGCATTAGGCGCCAGCGCGCTAGGCGCCAGCGCGCTAGGCGCTAGCGCGTTAGGCGCCAGCGCGTTAGGCGCCAGCGCTCTAGGCGCCTGCGCGGTAGGCGCCAGCGCGCTAGGAACCAGCGTGCTCGCTCCCGTGCGCACACACTCCCTCACACTCCCTCTCTCCCCTTCTTAAAATGGAGGCACAGTGCTAAGAGGAGACCAATCGGCATTGAGAACTTACGAGGAAAGTGGAAAAAATAGGACATTTCGGAGAGAGTAGCAAACGCACCTGAGACAACCGTGCCTAAGAAAACAACGCGTGGTCGTGCAGCAACCCACCAAAGGCGACGGCGGGAAGGGAGGGAGAGGCGACGACGAGGAGGAAGGGAGAGCGACGGCGGGGAGGGAGGGAGAGGCGACGGTGGGGGGTGAGGTGAGGCGACGGCCGAGAGTGAGGGAGAGGTGACGGCAAGGTGGTTCTAAAAAAACGAGTGGGAAGGTATTTGGTGAGATCAGAGTCGAGCAGGTGCTTGAATTCAAGAAACGGGACTCCCAAGGGAGCAGAGTTGACAGTGGGGAAAGGTTTGGTTGGGTTTGTGTAGCGCTGGCAAGAAAATTTTCTGCCAACGAGGCACGAACCAGTTTTCACAATCGAAATACACCAGGGCTCAGTTCGGCAGCCACGGAAGAAGGACGGAAGAAAAATTCGACGCATCTTCTTTGAAGCTTCAATTCGCATAATCGGGGGCTGTACTGTGCGGGTTGTAGGGTGATTTTTTCGGAAACCGAGGCGCAGCGACGCGAAGACCACCTAAAATTGATTCCGCGCCGTCTTCGATCCTTATTCCCCCCCCTCTGGCGGAAAGCTTCCGCCCTAGTGAGACGGAAGAAAATATTTGTTCTTTCAAAACACAAGAATCAACTTTTTGATTCCACAAGAATCACTGTTCACGGGACAACATTGCACCCTACGAAGACAAGGGTTACTTCACAAAATAACCCTTCTCCAGCTAGTAAGGGCCCACCAACCTTTTTTTTCTTTTTTTGGGCGAGCCTTTCTGTTCCCGCTACAGTGCCCTGGGACATGCGAATTTGAGGCCAAATGTGCCTCTCTCCTGCGGAGGTTTTTCCCATTCCCCCCCTCCAATCTGCGCCAGCTCCCCCATGGCGCAGGCTTTCCGCGGAGCAGTCAATTCAGGGTCAAAATTCGTTGACCCTGGTTTGACGCGCGCCTCACCTTCCCATTACCTTCCTGAAATTTTGCTTCCCCCTGGCTGCCGAACCGGGCCCAGTTCCTTTATACTCGCCGAAATCAAGAAATTTGTAGATGATTATTTTTAGCTGTTTGTGACACACAAGATTTGGCTGCAAATACACAAACTCACTAGAAAACAATTTTGCTTAGGAAAACAAATATACTTATAGGTCTTTAAATCTTCTGCCATTAACTACAATCAATGGTAGTAAAAAGTTACCATGAGCAGTAACGAAATAAAGAACTTACAAGCATGTTATAAAAAGACATATTTAGTTGTTATAATATCAAGCAGTTCATCATGTCTTAGCACGAAAAACATAAGTCCTACGCAATCCTTCCGACGTTAACGTCGAATCTTGTTATGCTCTCTTTTGAGTAAGTTGCGGAGATTAACTCTACAACGGTGGGGGCTAGACTACGGGGTTGGCACGAGTTGTCAGAGTGATCGTAGCTCTGTCTGTGTTCTCTAGGACTTGTGTTTTCACAGGGCAAAACAGCAAGAGTTTCACTAAGGAATGTTGAGAATACAGAGTTCAGAATGAACATGCAATGGCAAAGATTGACTACATCACATGCAAGGTTTGCTAGCACTCAGGCAGGTCGACTGCCAGCGTGACAGAGTTGTCGACCTGCCAACGCAGCACCTCCGCGGCCCGCCAACGCAGCTTGTGTGCGACTTGCCAACGCTGCAGAATGGCGGCCTGCCAACGCTGCACCTGCGCGGTTTGCCAACACTGCATCCACAGGTGATTGTAAGCGCATGTGCAAGCACCTACTTTGCAGGTGCTTGTAGACAGTTAGGCACGACGTGCACTGTCGAGCACATTGCGCAGATGCCAGGTCGGCCACATGCAGACGGTTGCACCTGACTAGCCACGTCGACCACGTGCTGCCACGTCGGTCGATTTCGCCACAGCAACCTCGACGACGTTCGCGACCCTCCGCAGAACCTCGTCGAGCAGGTAACTCGGTCAACCAGTTAAAGTCCCTGGCAACCCTGCAGGACGATGATCATCGTCATCATCGGTTGATGACCTTTGTCGTCGCGGGTCGACAACCTTTGTCGTTGCGGGTCGACGACCTTTCTCAAAGTTAGCGAACAACGGAATGTGTGAACTAGGGAAACAAGGGATACAAATAGCAACCCTAAAAGTGTTGTACTCCCTATAGTGCTACTCACTGTAGCCTAAGAACCTATAATAACATTTGACACACCCCCATAGGCTAAGTGAGGGGCATCAAAGCAAGCAGGGTGAACAAACGGTCACAAGACCAGTCACTGCAAGAAGCAAAGCAAGCTCAGGGTGGATCTCAAGGACACCACACAAATTCCGAGCACAAGCAAGCGGCCACAAGGCCAGTTCAAGAGTTCACTAGGATATATATAGCAAAGCACAACAAGCAGAGCAAACAGCAAGTCTACAGCAACCGAGGGCCTACCTCAACAAGCCCCAACTGCACACAGAACCTGTGGTGGTCACCAAGCGCCAGGGCCTTGGTGAAGACGTCTGCAGTGTTGGCCTCTGAGGCCACAAAGTCCAGGCGTGCCTGGCCGCGTCGCTGCAGCTCTCGCATAAGGAAGTACCTCACGTCAATATGCTTCACTCTGCTCTCCAGTCGAGGCTCTCGACAGAGGAGGATCATGTCCTTGTTGTCAGCGTACAAGGTCGGTGAAGAGCGAGGCCGCTCACCAAGGTCGGCGAGCAAGAAGGTCAACCAGCGAAGCTCCTGTGCCGCCATGGCACCAGCGTATATCTCTGCCTCTGCACTGGAAGTAGCCACAGACGACGACCGTGTAGACCTCCACGACACAGCACCAGCACCCAGACTGAAGCATTAACCCTGAGTTGAGCGCTGAGTCTCCTCGTCGTCAGCGTAGGAAGAGTCGCAGTGACCAGTCAACGCCACTGGCTGAGTCCCTCCAAGCACAAGCCCCATGCCTGATGTAGTCGCCAGGTACTTCGCCACCCTCACAGCAGCTGTCCAGTGGACAGGACGGTGTCTCCCAGTCGCAACAAAGCGAGAGAGGACGCTGAGGGGAAAGGCGAGGTCCGGCCGAGTACAAGTCATCAGGTACATGAGGCAGTCCACCAGCTCTGCGTAGGGACCACTGGACTCAAAAGGCTCGTCGGGAAAGGGGCCAGTGAGTCTGTGGTCAACAGCAAGAGCTGTGGGCTGTGTGGTGGAGAACTGGAAGTCGAACCGCCGAAGGACCTGCTGCACCATGTGTGACTGAGTCAGTGTGATGGTGCGAGCGGCTCTGTCCCTGGTGATCTGCAGGCCAAGGTAGCGCTGCAGTTCACCTAGGTCAGTGCACTTGTGTCTCTTCTGCAGTTCGGACTTCACCTGAGCCAGAGCTGCCCTGTCTGCTGTGGCAAAGACCAAGTCGTCGACGTACACTAGTATAAAGAAAGGAGTGGAACCAGTGCGAACAAACAGCGACGGGTCGGCAGAGGAAGGACAAAACCCAAGGTCACGAAGCGTGGAGCGAAGAGTGTCGTGCCACTCACGGGGCGACTGGCGGAGACCGTAGACTGGCCGTCTCAGGCTCCACTGGGTCCCAGGTGGGAAGGTGTCAGTGAAGCCAGGAGGGCGGCGCAGCCAGATCTCCTCGTGTAGTCGGCCCTGGAGAAACGCAGTAGAGAAGTCAAGGGAGTGCAGCTCGTAGTCTCGCTGTGCTGCTACGTGCAGTAACACCCGAAAAGTAGTCATCTTCGGGGTCGGGGCGAAGGTCTGGAAGAAGTCAACTCCCTCACGCTGACTGAAACCCCTAGCCACGTAGCGCGCCTTGAACACAGGCGGTGAACCAGGCGGCCGCTTCACCTTGAAGAGCCACATGCCATCGACTACGTTTGCCCTGGGAGGGGGAACTGCGTCGACGTAGGTGCCTGTGGATCTCCAAGACGCTAACTCCGAGGCCATAGCCGCTTTCCACTGTGAGGCCCACGCCCCTGACACTGCCTCGCGGTAAGTGCGAGGAGTCGGTATGTCAAGGGCGTCGGGGTCTCCCGCAGGGGATAGCAGCATGGCACAGACAGAGGGGGAAGCGGCTGCCCAGTACTCCAGCTCAGACTCTCTGTCCTCTAGGACGTCACAGCCAAGGGCAAACCCACCCCCAACGGACAGAGGACGGGAGGGAGGAGCTGGCACCACACGGGTGGTGTAGTCAAGGTGACTGGCGGCAGCAAACTCAGCGACAGCGGCAGTGAGAGCCGAGACAGACGACGGAGGGAAACGAGAGTCGGTGACAAGAGTGGCGAGGACACGAAAGACAACAGGACGAACAGTCAGTGACAGGAGTAGGGGGGAAAGGGAGAGAGGACGGAGGCGGACACGGGAGAACGGACTCAGGAGGAGGACGACGAAGAGACGAACAAAGGAGGGCAGTGCGGAGGTCGGTAACGGGAGACGAGTGACGAGCACGCGGAGGACAGGGACGGACACGAGAGTGTGGGACACCAGGTGGAGGAGACTGCGGTGGAGGAGAAGACCAGACCGCCGGACTGGCGTCAGGAGGAGGAAACGTGGGACCAAACGCTGGAGGGGACGGAGTGTGAACAGGAGGAGAGGAGGGAAGACCAAGGGCCCGAAGGCCACTCACGGGTGGGAACAACTGCC